AACTCCCAGTCTGTAATAATGAGAATGTTTATACGTGTTATTTATCCATAATTTAACACATTTTATTCACTCAAATCATGAGATTATTGTCCGATGAGTTTAGAGTCTGAGCATTTTCTATTGGAAGACTGTGCCTTCTCAAGCATATGGACCTGAGCTGACAACCTGAGGTTCAGGCAATGCTAATAAAAATTGTACTTTGCTAGATGTCAGTGACTCACTCTTAAAATATGAAGAATGATGAACTGAGAGGAAAAATAAGTGAAATACCTCTCAAGTGGAGACCACATTTAAGAGACATCCTGGCAACAGCTTTAGTTATTTGCTATATGAAAGTCAGGCAGAATCTCAGTCACCCATGCTAGATTTAGCTCTTTCAGTGGAACAGAAGCATCTACTGTATGGCCATTTCCCAGGGTTTCTGTGGAACATCACATCCCTTAACAGCCTCAAGTGAAACATCTTGGCCTCCAGCTGCAACCTCAGCATCATGGATTATTCCTCCAGCACCAAGATGGGCTGTCATGTTGACTCAGGAGTGATCAGCTCCTTACTGCAGTAGTGGCTGAAACCTCAGTTACATCAATTTACCTTATTGTGACTACAATACAAATGAGGTTAAAAACTGATACAGTTATTACTGGTACTTCTGTTTTGGGGTACATCAGGATAGAAGTTCTCACTCTAGCATGGCTACTTGTTTTGTCAGAAAATCATCTCTTCTTCATTGCTCATGTTTTCAGACTCAAAAATAACCCTTTTCTTACATTAATATGGGAGATATTTGCCATCTGTTCTTTGGAGAGTTTGCCAATGTTTTGAGATGCCAAAGAGAGCCACAATATTTCACTTAAGAAAAGGTGGTAGATAAATGAATATTTTACAATTCTTAGCACAGCTGAGTGCTAGAGGTCTTCCAGAGAAAGAGGAGGTTTTATTTCGATAGCATAACAAGCAACAAGAATTCCTTATGCTGAACTCTTTATGGGCAAGATCCAACTATGCTTCATTTCACGATTCCTTTGTTCTGCTTTGTAGGAAAGTGTTTCTTAGTATGTGTGCTGTTTAAAGTGTATTTATATGGAACAAATACTTCAGTCTTGTGCAGAAGTGTCATTGGATTCATTCATGAGACAGTACTGGCATTTGCAGTCTGTAAATACTGAATTGCTGTTGTCATTATTTTAGAGGTAAATCGGCCAAAAATTAAACATAGAAAATCACAGCTACTGAAGGCGTGTTTTACTTGTTCTTTTAACTTGTCTGGGAAAAGGCATCCATGTAATACATGGCTCCAAGCCACAGCAAGCTGGAATGCAAAGCTTCCAATGTAAAATAAGAAATGAGAACATGTGAGAGGGGATTTCCTGAGCTGTCCTTGGTGCATCCTTGCTGTTAAGCAATCTTAGTCTTCACCCATCCCTCTCTCTCTCTCATATATACACACACACACACATTTTTTGGTCCCCTTTACCACTCCTCAAGACAGAAAGGCACAGGCCCCATCAGCAACATGGTTTGAGTTTTAAAAATACTTGACCTTTACATCTGGAGTGGGTTTTCCTGTCAGAGGAATTAGTCTATCTTGTTTGAAACCTCGTGGGAAAGGTGACATGCAAGATGGACACAGACTTTCTGTCACGTTGCAAACACCCCATTGTTTTTTGAGTCACACAATAGACAGAATGCATGCACTGCCCTGTGACTCAAAGCTACATGGCTGAAAGTGAATTCTATTTGCTTATCATTCATGCGTGATTGGGTTGTTTTTTGATGGTTTGGTTTTTGCTTCCTGGAAATCACTTTTGATTTTCAGTGTTCTGCAAGAAATTTTTCTTCCCCCAGGAAATGCTGACATCACACCACTCCTGCATAAGACTGCTCTAGGCATGGTTCTGTATGTTTTTCCTAGGAGCACCATAAGGGCTCAACACTGTATTCTCAGAGACCCAAACTGCAACTGACTCACCAATGTTCTAGATACTCAGAGTATGCCAGAGGGGGCCAAAACCAAGAGGTCAGTCTCCCTCATTATTAGGATTTTAGCGCAGTCTGAGACGATACTAAAATTATTTTAACACTGTATTTCTGGCTTCCTTCATTTTTCTAATCTTCAGTGCTTCAGGTCTTCTGTCTTCCTCCCCCTGCTTCTTCCTCCTCACTTTGTTTTTCTGATTCTGGGGTTTTGTCCTGTTGATTTTTCTATTTTTGTCTGCTTTCTGTCTTTTGTTTCTTCAATTCATCGAACTCATGCTTCCCTTCTACTTCCCTTACCTCTCTCCTTTTGTTTTTTTAAACTCAGGACACTTTTTCATTCTTCTTTGTTTACAGATATCCTGCTTTTTCCACCCTCTTCTTGTTTGTTTCTTCATTTTGCTATTTTCACTGTGGTTGCTGGAGCTCCCCTGCTTGTTCTGATGAATATACAGTTAGAGATATTCTTGGTTTAAAAAAGTTTCCAATCTAAATAGAAAAGAAAGGAAAAAAAGAATTTGGAAAGAAAGGAAACACTATCTCCATTTTACTGAGGGAAAACTGTGGCAATGAAAAAAATCAGTATTTTAGGTCACACAGAAAGCCTGTAGCTGAACCAGGAGGAAATGTGAAGCCTCCCAGATTTCATTCCTTGCCTTCTTCATAATTTCGTGATGATTTTTTGCAAGTGTCTGCAGTGTAATGATTTGCAGTGTGACAATAATGACAGTGTCCACAAAGGAGCAGACTTCCTACATTACTATGGGTTTTCAAGCTTACCATAAACTTGATTACTTGGTGTACACTGTACTACAAACTAATAATTATTTTGAGAAAAACAGTTTTATTGAATTTTTTTCCATGACCAATTCACATCTTATTGTGAAAGCCCACCACATAACCAACCCTGTAAGTCCTAACATCTGGATATAACCAATGAATTCTTTGGAGAAAATTGGAGTGAACCAGTTTTCCTGGTTGAAGTCAGCACCATTAAGATGAGCGCTGATCCACATCATAATAAATTCACAGAATTCACCTCAGTCTGTGTTCCAAATCTTTATTTGAAATAGGTGTCATTATTAACAACTGCTGGTTGTTTCTGTGATTAATATTTGGCACTAAATGCAGTATTAACTGACATTTGCAGTATGTGATCTCATGGAGGAGTTGTGAGTACCCAGACATGTGTCTCTGGGGTTAGCTGGATATTCATCACCAGTTATTGCTTGCTTCTTACTGTTTTAACCTGCTCCAGGGAGGTCATTTCTCTCTGCATCCATTCATTCTAGGGAGATTTTGCATAAATTTGTCATGGAAAGGAGCACAGAAAGACTGCAGAACTTCTGAACCTCTCCATATATTATGAATAATGACTAAGGATATGCCAGTATGGAGCTGCAGAAAACCTGGGGGCACTCACCTCCCTAGATCCTATGATTATATGGATGCCTTTGCAACAGCTGGGAGAGTCAAATGGGTACCAGCAGCACTGCACATTTTGTCCTCTAAAAGATGAGGATTCAAGCCAGGATTTGGTGGCGGTTGGTTGAACTGAGAGCCTCATTGTGTGCCAGCCTTAGGGCAGCCACCCTGCCCAGGGCCCTGCTAGTAAAGCTGCACGTTTACCTCTTGGTAGTGTATGATCAAAAGCAAACCAACCTTGCGTTCACACAGGCCAGCTGTCTGACAGAAGGTGAGAGAGTAAATCCCTCTGGGGCTGCCAACTTCACCCTGTACAGAGCCAAGCTTTCTGCACCTGCAATGTGGCCTTGGGCCTTCATAGGACATAACCACCATGGGGCAAATGTGGTTCTGATGGAAGTCCATTAGCTTGGGCAGGCTTGTAGCAGAGGTGTGTGTGGCACTGCGTGTGCACATCAAGCCATGTCTCACTTCAGCTGTGCTTAAATTCCCCTCTTTTGCTAGTGTGTCTGTTGCTCCCGAGAGTAGACTGGGAGAACTAATCAGACTATACAAATATAGTCATGCAGCACAGCGTAAATGTGATTTAAACATATTTATGCCACCAAAGGGATTCTAGGATTAGTGTAATTGCTTTGCATTTGTCTCAGTAAATGTGATGCGATTAATTCATATAATTGGCTTGCTGCTGCACTGAGGCATAGGGATGGGAAGGGAATACAAAGTGCAGTCTGCTGAGGCTGCCCCCACTGATGGAGAAGCTTCTCAGATAGAGAAGCCGATGCTCACATCCACTCAAACCGAAAACTAGCAAATGAGTGCAGTGACATTAAAAACAAAATTCAAACCCACCAGCAGCCTCCTGATGAAGACCAAGAGGTGCCAGAATGAAAATGAGAGCTATGTCAAATTCTGATCTTGCAAACAGCGACGTAAATATGGAGTAACTCCAGTGAAATCTATAAAATGGTTTTGAAATGGGCCTTGAGGGTCTTATTTACAGCACATAAATTTAGACACTGACTCCCAGATTTATGATGCTACAGGCTCCATCGCAAGTTAGTAGGTACCTCAGAGGGATTCAGAGGTACCCAAGGTAAATTTGTGCTCTACACCGTTCTAAAAGAACCAATCTGTCTCTCTGTTAATGGTAAAGACAGTCTGGGGAGATAGACTTGTCACATTACTGACTGAATTAGGTGTGTAAAATTAGGCAGAATGAAAATGCCCTGAAGTATACAGAACCCTAGAAAGAAAAAGTGACCCCCTCAAAAAATCTATGGTTAATGCAAAGAACATTGGGTGTCACTGTTACATACCAGAGGCCTTGAAGGCTGGAATCTGCTCCCAGGCTTTTACTATCATTAAGACCATCTTCTCTTTTAGAAGAAGATTTGCAGCTTCAGTCCAGTTTCTCTCCTTCCCATGTTCTTGATATCCTCACTGAAGCGTTACAGCATGGTTCAGTTAGAAAAATACTTGCTGTAGTTCCCATGCCTAAAATGCTTGAGGCATCCTACCTGGATCCAAATGGAATTCTGCACTAAACACTGTACTATTTGGCACACTCAGGTTGTACTGGGATTACAAAAGTGCACCTGCAAGGGCAGTCCTTTTTTGATTCTCCAGCTCATATTAGCTTCCTGACTTGTACTTTCACATGCAGAGCCAAAGATGAGTGCCTGTAAAGGGGCATGGTCAATGGAGTGGGGCAGGATGCTTGACATACTAAGTACCTCTGGCCTCTTCAAGGCAAAGTTAAACAGTTAAAGTAAAGGTGGCTCACCTAAACAGCTGGTCTCCCCTGAAATGCCTGAGTCAGGTGATGGCAACCAGCATCAGAGTAATGACATCTTCTTCTCTCAGCTCCCAGCCTCAGCTACTGCTGAGGGAACTTGCTCCCTGTTAACGCTTAGGGGTTAGTCACCAGCTCCTTGCTGAGAAAGGGACCTGACTGAAGCCACACAGATGGGCTTAATGTGCGCTGTCACACTCAATTTGGCATGTCATCAGGTGTGCTAGCACTCCTCCAGGGTCACCAGGCTGTCGTTTCTGCAAATGTTTCCACTGACCAGAGAATAGCAAAAAGCATCACTTGTAGATTGCTGGCTCTATTGCCAGCCACACACTGAGCTTTTTTTCATCAGAGAAAAAGAGACAGGAGTTCCCAAGGATTTTAGCACTGGACACATTTCCAGACCAACTTACAATATTAACTATAGCACAGGCCTCCATATGCAAAGGAGAGATCTCACTTGGTAAGCTTTCATCTTCGTGGCCTCATAGATGACCTACCTGAGCCAACCTGTTGAGCAGAAGGCAGGATGGCGATGGCTTCATGATTTTGAAGAGATAAGAGGTTTTCTATTACTGTACTGCCTCTTCTGCATTGCCTTTGCAGCTCAGTGCTTTGCTTCCTGCAGATTTCCTGGAAGGTGGCCTGTATCATCCTAACCTTCTGCAGTGACAGTTCGTCAGCTCGCATCTGGAACACAATTTTTTGGCAGCAACTGAGGTTTCTTTCCTCCACACAGAATGCATCTTTGTCACGTTCAGCAAGCTGGGCTCTTCAGCCTCAGAAAAAGGCCCTTTTTGAAGCACCTCCTCAAAGTAGCTGTATCCCTCAGCCTTGTTTACCTCATTCTCTGCAGCTTCTGCAGCTGGGGGCAAAGCTGTGGAGACCCACAGCTGCAACTGCTTGGGTAGTGCTGGGGAAAAATTGTTGCTGTCTGAAGGCAGCACCTCCACCAGCTTTTCCCCTGGAGCCCTGGGGATGAGCTTCCTGGCACAGAAACCTTCCAGCTCATGACAGACAGCCTTGGGTGTTTGAGTCAGCTACTCCAAAAGAACTTGATCATGGCACAGGGAAAGAAAAATCATGTGATTTTGACATCAACCTGTGAAATCTGTGATTCACAGTTAAATTCTTCTGGGCATTTCCTGGTGCACAGCAGATGCTGTCTCAGAATGCACAAAGCCTGCCATGAATACAGAGGGGCATAGAGACTCCCCCAGCTCTGAGTACACAGCTTTGGGGAACCCCCCCGCATGTGTAAGAAAAAAGTAAAGCAGAAACTGGCTGTCTGCTTAAACAAGGCTGGGGTAGTGTGGCTAAGCAGTATCCCAGCTCCTGCAGGCTCAGACACTGATTCTTCAGCTGTATCTTCTTGGCCTGAGACTTTTGTAACTGGGACCTCCCACCACTCTCACATTCAAGGACCAGACATGTCTGAGCTACTTAACTTGCAAGACTGAATAAGTCTGAGTACAATCAGGGCAGGGCAGCCAAAGTCTGGAGCAAATGGGTTACAGAGAAAGCATCATAACTTTCTCTAGCAAAGCATCCATCTTCTGGATGACACAGTGTTCTGCAAGGCCTGCTTCTGCTTAGGTTGAAGTCACAAACACATCAATTCTAGGCAATGATGTTTCCATTTGTTCTCCTTTGGGCTAGGCACTGGTTTCTGAATCTTTCAGTACTCTGCATTTCTCATGCATCATCTCTATTGCAGATGAATTATGAGACTAGATGAAGTCAAAACCTGATTTAATTCTCTCCTCTTAGTTCAAAAGCCTTAGGCTTCCTCCAGCTTTACACCCCTTGATACTCCAATGCATGCAACACCCTGGAGCCAAACTTCTCATCGGTGCAATGACTACAAACATGGCAAAACAAATTCCGTTCTCAAAGAGTAACTCCTGATAGCTGACGGTGCACTTGCCGTGGTGTAATGAGGCATAGAATTTGCTCCAATGTGTTTTTAATACAACTAGAGAGACTTGGGCTATTTATTACGGGAGTCATATAAACAAATCATTCAAACAAAATCCTTCTAATTTTGCAGCAGTCTAGACATGCAGTATATTGCGAAGCCATGTCTAAGGACAGTGTCATTAAAATTTTTATCCTTATTTCCAGTTCAGAGGAGAACTGAGGATAAATGTGACAGTCTGGCACCTAACATATTATCCCACAGTACCTAAAAGGAGTGTCAGAGTCATCTGAAAAGCCCTTTGATTATTGCATGATAAGAAAGGTTTATTTCATGTCGGCTGTGCTGGGATAACATTGTCTTTGCTGTGTTAGGCCAAGTTTGCACACTTTCTGTGGGAACCCTCCTCATTCCAACGAAATGGGACGATAGGAAGCATTTTATTAGAGCTTACTGGAAAAATGTGCCAGAAGTGCCAAGGAGCCGGGACTGCTGTCCAGCTGGCTGAAGACAGACAATGCGTAAATCGCAAAACGTCACAGGATTGCTGGGCTGGATGGAAATTCCCGTCTCAGCTAGCGCCTCATCTCCTAAACCCATACATGTCCCATGAAACACATGCAAACCTTCTGCACCAATCCTAAACAATGTCTAGGAAATACACTGTAAAGGTTGCCTTAAGGTCAACAGACCTTTGGAGAGATGGTGGTGTGCATGCCCCCATGCTCTCAGGGGCACAACGGCATCAGGACACTCCCACACACCTTCAGAGCACACAGCACATTGCGTGGCGCTGTGAGCTGGCACAGACAGGACTATGTTGTCCCCAGTTCAGGCTTTGCATGTGCCTCCTCTCTTTGATTTTTTGTATGACTGAAGCTCATCTTGAGATGGAGAGCTTAGCCCAGAGCTCTCTCAGCAGTCAGTGACATCTGGAAGTAGAAAATGTCTCCCAAATATTTATGAGATATGTCAGTAGTTTCCAGATTATTGTTTCTCCCTAGTGTCTAACCTGAAACTTCCTTACTGCTTTTTAACTCGTTGCTTTTTGTTTATCCATGAAGACATTTCAGTAATTGAAGTTTATGAGTAATACTCTAAATGAGGGAATAAACTGAATTTAGCAGACTAAAAAACAGGAGTCCTGAGAGTTGGAAAAGGAGACTGGATCTGATGTGTCTTTTTCTGGCATAGGAAATGCCATGGTGGGGAAGGAAGGCAGAAATCTTTTGTGGGGAGGAGGCAATGGAAACTACAGCTGTTAGTGGATGAGTGGCAGGAGTGAGAAACATAACATTACTAGGAGTTGCACGCTATGTCTGGGTGAGATGCATTATTTGGCAAAGCCTTGATGGAAAGATAAACTGGGATAGAGGGGGATATGGCTTCTCAAGCTACTGGGAAGGGTTTTTGGTTGATTGCCAGAAAGTAAGTATGTTAAATGATATTCAGGTTCTATTAAGGTCTGTGAGAGTTCAGCAGGACTAAAGTTTCACCCTGTGTGTTTCATTAATTGTTTTATGTTGTTTTGTCATTTGTGGGTTGTTTTTTGTTTTTGTTTTTTTTTGGGGGGGTGGAAGGAGCAGCTGCATAAAACGTCGAAACACAGATAGTCTGGTATTAAAGCACTGGATCCAGATTCAGATCTACATTTCTGCGTTAGCTGAGTCTAAGAACTGAGACAAAAGACAGAGTGGTAATGGCACAGTCAGATCTAATGTTAAAAGCCTTCATCTAGAAGTAGTCCAGTCCTGGAGCTCTGGTCTAGCGTGGCACTGAGATACAAGACGCAGATCACCAGAAGCGTGGATCAGATTTTGCTAAAAATAGAAGAGGTAAAAAAGATCTGAAGAAAAGTGGCAAGAAAAATCAGCAGCTTTTTGTCCTTTGGCTTTCCTTTTGTATTTCTTTTCCTATCTGTATTTGTAACCTTAATATGTAGGGCTTTTTTTGGTCACTTCTAATATCATATCAATACACTGTAATCATACAGTATCAGCTACCATATGTATTTTAGTTTAAACTTCAAATTTTATCTTCTCCTATATATTGTCGTTTTAATACCAATGATAAATGTAAGTCATGATCCAGCAAAGTCCCTAAGTACTTCCCCTTCTGTAAGTCTATGAGATACAGTTGTGTAAATGTTAAATGTTTCAGGCCATGACTAAGCTGGAAAAAATGAGGGATGGGATATGGAGAAAGGGGAAGGAAAATGGAAAACATACAATATATCATTTTCCTTTGATCTGAAATGTTGTATCTGAAATAAATAAAGCATTTAGTGTTGGCCTGATTTAGCTCTTCCCCCTCCCCCCCAAAAAAATGAGGTTAATACTGAAATGTAAGAAGTGTTTCAAAATTAAATGTTGACCTTTCTGTACAATTGTCCTCTCTATTTTGTTTCTGAATACAGTTGTAGTTTTTCAACAAATTGTAAATTAGCCTAGCTGTCATGTAAATGACCTTACTCTACTCATAAGATCAAAAGTTAGGCAACATTACTGTGTTTTGCAACATAAAGGTGAAATAAGAGCAAAAGCAAGTCTGCACTGGGAGAGAAAAATACACTTTGGGAATACAGACCAACGTGTGCAAAGAGCGCATTCTAGCATGTAAACTGCCTGCAAAAGTTTAGCTAGCATACAAACAGTCTTACAATGTGTTTGCATTTTGCAGGCCAACAAACACTCATCATTAAATCAGTGAGGCCAGTCAAGATGTCTGTAACACAGCAAGAGGCACAGCAAAAGCAGCAGCAACAGCAGCAACAAACTCCCTTCTTGCTGACTGCAAACATCCAAAACTTTTACTGCATTCATTCCTAGCAGGCTGTTGGGAACCATGCTATCTTCTGACCTTAATATCTTTAGCCTAGCAGAGACAAATTGTCTTCCCAAAAGCTGGTACTTTGATCACCCTCAGAAATAAAGATCAGAGGATGACTAAGGGTTTTGGGAATTGAGTTCTTGCTCTCTTTCTTGCTCATGCAGGCACGCAAAAACTCACACAAAGCCACATTTTCATATATTTGTTATTGACGCAGACACACTTCAATGAGAGGTCCTTACAGAGCACGTACTTAACAGACACATTACACAAATGTTTGCTGTGTACAGAATAATCAAGGAAACCGACTCATGTTTATTATTACTGAATCAGCAGCAGTCTGATGGATTAAAAACATCCTCTTTTTTTTTTTCCTCTCTCTCCTGTTGTGAAAGTGCCAGTGTTGTAAACTCTCCTTGCAAGAGAAGTGGGTGGAGATGAAGCGACTCATGACCTCCATGACCTGTGCGCTGCCAGTCGCTCAGGTTAGGTCTTCTGGCCACAACCCAAAATCCCAGAACATCAGCCACAGATACTTGGAGCCATTTGGGTTGGGAAAGAAGACAGTAAATGTCCGTTTCCGGTTCACAGGCCCCTGAGCGTCACCACATATTTTGGAAGTCTGTCTGGCTTCCTGACTTTGAGAGTCTCTTGATTTAGAATTCAGGGAGCAGCAGTGAAAGGCAGAGAAACAAGGCTTACCTAAAACCTTGTGAATAGTCAGAACATTTTATTTTCTCTGACTTCTAATATTTTTAAAGTTTTAATTCATTAGATAATTATTTTGGGGGGATATTTGTAGTAACTCCTGCTACTATAACGAATTTGGTTCTTTACACATACACTCTTTAGGCTGGGAGAGATACCCTAAAATGAGTCTGAACTCTT